GTTGGCTGACTGCTATAAGAGGAAACTGAGTCCAGGGAAAACTCAGCAAGCAAGACAGTTTCCAGGGTGAGGGCATGGGTAGGGTTTCAGGAGAACTGAAGGGAAACTGACGATGTCTTGGCAGCCAGCTGTGTACACCAGGTCGGGGTACGCAGCAGTGGTGCCAATACAGGGGGAGAGATGCAACTCCCAAACCTGCTAGATATCTGAAACTCGAGTTCGTGTTCTCTAAAATTGAACAATGAATTCCAGGAACAACAGAAGTCAGGAGTAGGAAAAGTTTATTGAAAGAAAGCTTCTGTCTAAGAGAGAGAAAGAGGACCAGAAAGTGGGTTGCCCGCCACCCCACTTTTCAAAGGTGTTTTATACAGCAGAGCCATGTGGTGAAGCGGGTACAAAGTGGGACAGAACTATAAGACCCAGTGGAAATTTACAAGGTGGGACAAACCCTGACCAACCAATAAGACTGCAAGTACAGTCACCCAGGTAACGATGGCTGCTTGCTTGTTCCAAAGTGACCTCCATCTTCCAGACAAGCTGGGAAGTTTCCTGTTGATGATTTCAGACAGCCACGTTTCTGATAGTATGTTGTAATCGACCAAATCGAAACTATAGAGAGGGACCACACTCCGAGTCAGATTTGGCTCCGTTTATTTAAAGCCGGCGACCGAGAGGGGCTAGTGGCCCTCTCTTGGCCCCCGAGAAGCAGTTTGATTTCTCCTTCTCAATCATGCTTTCAGTCGGGGAGGATTCAGGGGAGAGCAAGCAGAATTTTACAGAAGCAGAACCAAGCCAGGTTAGTAGGGGACACAAGGAAGTTTCACACACACTAGGTGAGCTACAAAACATCTTGCAGCTGCAGAAAGTTTTCTGCTAAACAGGATGTGGCTTTTGAGTACTTTGTCCAGCACAAGCACATAATGGTGGTGAGGCTCAAGATGGAGTCGGGTTGGCTATCACAAGTACATGCTGCTGAAGAAAAGCTTCTCAGTCAACAGAAAGCAGCAGTCAGCTGGGCACAGTAGCACACGCCTGTAATCTTGGCGCTCTGGGAGGTCCAGGCAGAAGGATGGTGAGTTTAAGGCCAGCCTGGGCAACTTAGCAACTTAATGGGTCCCTGTCTCAAAAATAGGACAAAATAAAAAAGGACAAAGGCCATGGGTCCAATCCCCAGAAACTCCCTTCCCTTCAGCCGCCTGCTCCCCAAGCAGCCGTTACACAAGGAAGGGGTTTATGTGAGCGGCGACAGGTTATGACTGTGTGTCCTCGGAAAACGTTGTTCCTGTGGTTTGCAGCCGCCAAGCCTGGGCAGTCATGGCCTGACACATGACAGAGCTGAAGTCCCTTCACTTCTTCAGTCCGAGGTATTTTTACCCTATCAGGCCACATCAGGATTAGAAACTTTCAAAATATTTTATTTCCACAAGGGTGTTGGAATTTCAAACATTCATACATTTCACCAGAGTTCGATGAGGATTTATATAAACATGCAGAGTGGCTCACTTTTATAACTTTTTCCAAAGGATTTCTGTATAAGATTTCCTGATTTAATAAACGTGTGAGCATCTAAGTATATCCGGAGACCAGTGATTTAGTTCAACCTTGTCATTTCACAGAGGAGAAATTAACAAAACCATTAGTTTTATTGAAAGCCGCTGAGGCATGAAGTAATTAAGCAACTCATATCAGGTTCCAGGTAACTAATGGTAGGATTGGAATCGTGTGTTTCTGATAGAATTATTGATGTTAAAAAAAATGAATAAGTGATAATTTGAAATAGGAAAAAAGGTCCAAAGACGAAGGAGTGAAGGGAGAGGAAGGGGAAAGGAAAAGAGGGAAAGGAAAAACTATGAGAAAAGAAAAAAAATGGAAATGAAATCTATGTAACTAGGGAAGGGAGGAGGGGGTGAAGGGTGTACAGGTAATGGGGGAAAAAAAAATAAGAACCAAGACATATCGTGTACAGGTACAAACACCCAATGATAAAGGTAAACGAACTGTATACCTAAAATGTACCAATAAAAGAACTGAAAAAAAAAAAATGAAGTTGGAAAAAAAAGTTTAAAAATGAAGTTGGGTGTGGTGGTACATACCTGTAGTTCCAGCAGTCTGGGAGGGTGACACAGGAGGGTCACAAGTTTGAAGCCGCCCCAGGCAATTGAGTGATTTAACAAAATCCTGTCTCAAAATAAAAACTTAGCCAGGTGTGGTGGTACGCACCTATGACCCTAGCACTTGGAAGGCTGAAGCAGGATGATTGCCAGGAGTTGGAGGCCAGCCTGGGCTACACAGTGAGTTCAAGGACAGTCTGAACTACATAGTGAGACCCTGCCTCAACAAACACAGAAACTTTAAAAAGAGATGGAGGGCCGGGGATTTAGCTCAGTGGTTCCACCGCCTGCCTCGCAAGCGCTAGGACCTGAGTTTGATCCCCAGTACCAAAAGTAAATAAATAAATAAAATAAAGAGATGGAAATGAGCTCAATGAGAAGGTCCTGAGTTCAATGCCGTGTTTTGGAGAGTTGTGGCAGTATAAGGAAAGATTTCCTAGTCCGGTCGCCATGCTCTTCCAATGCTATCACCTTATTCTCTGGGGTCTACAGCTTTCTAGGCCAGAAATGTAAAAGCTATCATCCAAATACTTTATCAGGAAATTCTAGAAATAAGCAGTTCTGATATTCCAAGTGCAGCCATCAAAATGAATGCTATCAAAATTTAATTGCTGAGGCAAAATTGTTTTTTAAAGATGATGAAAGTGCCATTTAAATATAGAGGGAAAATATTCTCAATCACCAAAGTTGGGAAGCTGAAAACTTTATTGGTCCTTGAGAAATGTCACAGATTTAAAACAAAAGCAGTTAGAATGTAGGGTGCTCAGGGGAGACTTGTTGAATAATGGAACATTAAAAGTACTTAAACTAAACAGACTTGGAAAATAAGTGGCCAAAATATAAACCCGAGATTATTTCTGGGAGATTTAATTGCAGAACTAAAAATAAAAGAAAGTTTCCCACCCTTGTCATTTCTTGCCTATGCCAAACTTTGGTCCAAGACTTTGTATACTTTTTTCATTTCAACTTCCCAAAATTTTTGTGAAGAAGGAAGTGTTCTTCTCCACTTTACCATGAGAAAGCTGAGCTGCTGAAAGATTTAAGTTACCTGCTGCCTCAGTTTCCTACGGCTCCTGTAATGAAGTACAGTACCACACACTGGTTGGCTTAAAAGCAACAGAAGCAGTATGCTTGCTCGGTCCATGAAGCCACAGGCAAGAAACTGAGGTTTTGGCAGGGTTACACTCTCTTGGGAGGCCCTAAGGGCGTATTCTTATCTCTTTTGCCTTCTGGTAGCTCCTGGTGCTCTTGGCTTGGAGCAGCATCCCTCCAATCTCCTCCTCTGGTTTCACCATTCCCAAGTAGGGTAGAATGGGAGTCGAGATGTACTTTGGCTGTGGAAAGCTTTACCCTATTTAAAAGAGACCTCGGAGGCACCCAATGATAAATGTAAACGTATTGTATACCTAAAATATACCAATAAAATAATTTAAGCAAAAAAAAAAAAAAAAGAGAGAGAGAGACCTGAGGGAGGAAGTGCCACAAGTCAAAAAGGCAGACACCTGTGTGGAAGTTCTGGACTCTAGAAATGGAAGCTAATCAGAGAAAGATAAAAAAGAGAGAAGTCGACCTATGGTATTGCAGGAGTTCATTACCTTCTAGTCAAGAAAATGATGTGTCTCAAAATATAACATAGCAGAGAATGAAGAGTGCCCCAGTGGGGGACACCTGGTGGACAGCTACTTTGGCAGAGGCTTTGTGGAGATTCTGATTTGTCTCACTGACAGTTTCAATCCTCAAAGACTAGTCTAGGAGTAGAAAAATCAGAACATTAAAGCGATAGCAGGTACAGTGGACCCTTGACTTATGAACTCAATTCATTAGCAAGAGCTGGTTGTAACTCAAGTTGATCAATTGAGGGCTCAGGCTCCTCTACACAGCCTTCAAAGTCTTTCTCCTGTGTACAGGCAGCTCTCAGTGTCCCCAGAGACACACTGGCCCAGGATTTCTCAATGAACTCCACACAGGAAAAGATGCTGTAATGTTCTTTCCAGAACTCTTTAAGGGTTAGATCTATATCTGAGACCATCTGGAAGCACAAGCAGCTGGCAGTCGGGTTGTAACTCAAGACTTTATAAATTAAAACTAAGATGCCAGTCGTAACCCAAGTTGTTCGTATGTCAGGCCAGTTGTAACTTGAGGGTATGTGGAGAGCTGGGGACAGTATCCCACTTTAGTCTCTTTGGGTGGGCAGGAAACTCAAGAAACAAACAAAGAAGCTGGCTGCCTTCAGATGGGAAGAGAAGCAAAGAGAGCTAGCATGCACACTTCTAAAATCTGCAGCGATAACAAGGCTTTCTGAAGTATGGATCACACAAAGGCCCGTTTCCTCTGGAAAGCGTTGGGGACCCTGAGAGCTGAAGCAGTGCAGTGGAGGAATTTGCGTGGCAGGCAGGGGTCCAGGTCTGCACATCTTGATTTGACACTCAAGTTTTACTGATAGTAGGGGGGGAAAAGACCCTCAAGGGGCTTTTAGAAGAAAACAATGAACTCTCCAAAGGATACCATTTCGTAAACAAAGAAATTTCCTTAACACAAATCAACAGAGCACACAGTGCATCTATTATCTGCCATGCTAAGCCCATAGGAACATAAGTAAGAAGACAGCCCCAGCTCCTCAGGGACCTATACTTTGTCACTCTAGTGTAGGGACCACTGAAGCGATGTCTGAATGTGACACTTTCTTTTCTGATGTATCTCCGCAAATGGCAATGGTTGGTTTACAACTCCGCACAGATCTAGCCCCCAAATTACAATTCATCTCTACACTGATCTGTGCATGCTGTTCTCTGAACGTGGATAACTCCCTAAGACCCTTCTATGAAACGGGCCCCCAAACTGGTAAGAAGCCATAAACTAGGAAATATGAGTTGGTCGGGCAAGATGACATTTCACATCAGTTTGTGTAATAATTTTATTGCATAAGAAATGACAGATTGCATAAATCATTAGGTCAACAGTGTACAGAGAGAAACAAACCACATACACATGATTATTGTGATCAAATCAAACAGGAAAAAACACCTAGTTCCTACAAATTCCACTAAGTCCCCAAATATGACTCTTTTGGAGAGAAAATTACCCCTTGCATTTTCTGGTCAGTGATGTCTGTAGTTCCATTGAGCAAAATGGGAAACTGCTTCACAGATAAAAACATTGACATAACGTACATAGACGTGTAGCCCTCTTAACCCTGGATACAACAGAAACAAGATGTCAGCCGGCCTGCCTTGGCCTAGAGCACGGCTGGGATTTCCTACCAATTCTAACAGTTTGTATAGAACATGATATAACCTCCTGCATACGGAAACTGCACAGGTTGGGAATACCAACAAATATCACAGGAGTCAGTTTCTTCCTATAGAGGACAAAGTATATAAACAGACTGGATGTTAAAATGTTCCGTTCATTATGTGCCCTGCCCAACACACAAAAATACAAATAAATATTTCCTTACAAACCAAGTTCATAGTTATACTGTAAAAAGATTAAAAAAACCCAAAATCTTAATTTACCCTCTCTTGTCATTAAATAAAAAGGCAAATATACAGACACCTTTGATGCTTATATAAATCGTAGGGGACTGTCATTTCCTGGCCCAGTTGGTTTTCTCTTCCTTTTCAGTACCAAGGATCAAATCCAGGGGTGCTCAGCACTGAGCTCCATCCCCAGCCCTTATTTTTTTGAGCAAGGGCTCCCTAAGTTGCTCAGGGACAACTTGATCTTGTGACCCTCTGGCCTCAGCCTCCCCTGTGCTAGTCTCCAGGTACACACCACTGCACCCCGCTCACAGCTGAGGTTCAATAATGCTCGTGCTCCACACACAAGACTCATCCCAAGCGCAAGCTTAATGCTAGTGAAAGTCACCCAAGAGAATTTCTTCTATTTAGGTAAAAAAGCTTTCATTTTGGAGATTTTAGAATTATATTTGAGTTGTTTGAAAAAATACAATTTTGATGCAAAAACGCTATCAAGAATTCAAGACTATATCGCTGGTGCTATAATCTTTCTGCATGTCTTTGTTTTCCTAGAAAGAATCACCATACGCCTGAAAAGAATTTAAAACGGTTGAACACAAGTGCATGATACGGCCGCTCGATGCCCCCAACTCAGAAGGTGGACAAGGATCAGACGTTGCTCTTGCGCATCTGCTCCAGCTTTCTTCTTAGCAGACCGTAATTCTCCTTGGTGCCTGCTGCCGCGGGGTCGAGCTGCAGGGAGATTTCGTAGTGTTTCTTGGCCAAGTCGAGATGTCCCCAGCGATGATAGAGCACCGCTGAAACAGCAGGAGGTGGATTTCATTGGCAATGCGTTCTCAACCACTGGTACCAAGAACCAGAATGGGACCTTTGCAAACAGTTTTCAAAAAGCTATGCTTAAAAAATATTGTTTGTGCTATAAGCTTTATTGCCTGTCACTGCACTCCTCGGGGATTGTGTGAGGAAGCCCTGCCAGGTGTTCCTGGGGCTCCTGGTGTCACTACGTGGGACGCATCAGCCGATGGCAACATTATTACACAAAGAGGTTAAAAGAACAATGCAGTAAGTGTCTCATGGCTGCCATGAAATTTCCAGGGAGTCAGGCTGGGTAAGGTGGGGCTCAGGCACCGCCTAGAGCTCTGGCTATGGACAAGTCCAGCCTTTCATAAAGAAAAGACTGCTGCTCATTTCTTTATTTATTTGAGGTTCTGGGAAACTGAACTCGGAGCCTTCACACTGAGCTACATTCCCAGCCTTTAAAATTTTTCTGAGACAAGGTCCCGGCTGGGCTTGAACTTGCAATCCTCCTGCCTCAGCCTCCCAGATTACTTGGTTTATAGTTGTGCGCCACCATGCCTGGCAGTCGTTTATTTTGAATGAAGATTTCCCCATGCCATTCAGCAAAGTATTAGCTGTGCACTGCTAGTTGAAAATAAGAGTTCTAACATGAAGACCTGACTATCACATGATAGTTACAATAAGCCTAATTATTACTATGAAAAGCCTGATGGTTAACGATGATTTTGTAAGAAAACTAACTTTCTGCAGGGGCAGGAAAACAACTCAATGTTTTGTGACTTTTGTGATGAGCAGTTTTGGGGTGGCAGGGAATTGGTGAAGAGAAACGTTCACATGCCCGCACACTCCAAATACCTGCAAGTTACGCTCTAAAAGTCCTCACTATGGAGCTGGAAGAGTGGAAGAAGGGACTTCTGGGAATAAACAGTTGGGAGTGCAGTTTTGGCTGAGGCACAAGGGAACGTCGCACACACAAAGGACCAGGCTGAAGAGGGAGGCCCTGGGCAGGGGAGGAAGAGGGCACAGGAGGTACCTTAATGGGAAGCTTAATGTCATAGGACCTGCCACTCACAGGAGCAAGACCTGAGTTCTAATCCTAACAAGTGACAACCTCAGCCACAATTCTGAGGGTGGTCCTGGCGATGCAATTACAATCTGTAGCTGTCCTTGAAATGTCATAATAAAACTGCATTTTAGCGCCAGATTATGAAGGATAGGCTAGCTTTGAGGAAAACACCATGACTCTCCCAATACTGATGTCTCAGAAAGATGCCTATTTCCTTGTAAGTACAAAGAATTTCAAGATTCATACTGGAAACTTTCCTTACCTAAATTCCCATGGTAACTTGCAACATTTGGATTTGCTTTAATTGCCTTGAGGAATAAAGCTTCAGATTCCTAAAAAAATGAAACACATAGAAAAGAAAGCATTGTATGTGAAGCGAAAATGACTCACAGCTTCACTGCCCATGGTTTTCAAACTTTTAACAGCCCTGGTTTGTACCACTGCACGATTCCAGAAACACGCTCTGAAGAGCCAGCGAGGACCCTTCAGGGCCGCAACAGTGACCACAGGACTTGGGCGAGTTTGCTGTGAGCTCTGCCACTGTCCCCCGGAAACGGCTGCAGTCCTGCGACTTCCGGCAGCGGCGGCGGAGGAGGTGGAAAACACAGGAAAGTGACAGTGCCACTTTCAGCCTGCACGGTGACCTCACTGCCCGGATGCTGAAGGCAGGAGTGGGGCCCCTTTCATCTCCCCAGAACCCACACTGCCCTGGCAACCCAGAAGCAGCTCCTTCACTGGACGGAATGAGCAGAGAGAATGAGGAAGAAATGGCTGTGACTGCGGCTGTCACAGCACTGTGTATGACTGCGACCAAACGCCCCCAGCGTGCATGAACTGCATTTCCTCCCAATCATCCTCACTTCCAAATTGGTCACTCGACACCGGGCAAGTTTACCACAGATACGGATGCCGATCTGTCCTCCCCGACACGTGCCGGGGCCACTGTCCACTTCCCCCACATTCCTGTCTCAACGGGCCACACAAGCTGGAACGGGGGTCGCGATGAGCTTAAACCCCCAAGCCCGCTGGTGTGGGGACAATTACTTTTGCTTCTCATATCCTATGTGCATTTTTCTGGGTGGAAAACCAGAAAATTCAGATTTGCTACCGCGCAAGGCCGGAAGCGCCTCTGCTCTGTGGTGACCTGGGAGAGTCCGGGGACACAGGGCAGGATGTGCGCCCCGTGGCCTTGCAGGCAGAGCTGGCCAAGAAACTGCATTTTAGAACCATCACTCCAGAGGGACTGAACATCAGGCTAACCCGTCAGGGCCTGCAGTCCAAGTGTCGGCAGCTGCAGCGCCCTTGTGGCGGCCTGAGATTTTCCAAGGAAACAGGAAAAAATGAAATGAAACCCCCAAATCAAATGGACTGTGGAATGGTGATGTTCCCGATGATTTTCAAACATTTCCATTTAAAACCGAAAACTTGAGAACACAAGGCGGCCAAGTAACCTAAATCTACTTAAAAATGCTCCCCTGCCTGCAAAAAGCGTGGCGCTCACCGGCAGGAGCCGCTTTCTGGGTGAGAAGCAGGTCAGCTCTCTAGGGCCCGAGGAGGCCAGCTATGCCGGGGGCGGGAGGGACATGGGTTCAGGCCTCTGGAGGGGCTGCTGCTCCTGCAGGGGGATGAGGAGGCCAGGGAGGGAGGAAAGCATCTAAGGAAGAACAGGCGGAAGGGCTGGACTTGGAGACAAGGGCAGCGGGGCAAGGGCCAGCTCCTGAGCCTGGAGATGGAAACACGGAGCTGCAGGCAGGGGCGGCGGGGAGAGCAGGCCTGGGGCAGGTGGGTGTGCAGTGACCCAGTGGTGGGGTGGCCTCTCAGGTGACAGCGGGACCCCTGGACACATGGCTCAGCAGCCCTCCTGTGTCCAGGAGGAGAGGGGCACAACCCGAGCTTCTGTGCCACACTCATGTCTGTGGGAACCCCACGCCCTCAAAATGCTCAGCTATTGGATTGGACATTTAAAGCGCCTGTTCAGGAAAGCAGCAAACTATTTAAAAACGGACCCAAAGCTGGGCATGGTGGCACACGCCTGTAATCCCAGCACTCCTGATGGCTGAGGCAGGAGGGTCACTAATTCAAGCCCAGCCTGGGAAACTTAGTGATTAGCAAGACCCTGTTTCAGAACTGAAAAAGAAAAAAAAGGGCTGGGGATGTAGCTCTGAGTGAAGGCCCTGGGTTCCACCCCCATTATATCAATCAACCAATTAACCAACCAATCAATCAATCCATCAGTCAATCCATCCAGCCAATTAAAAAGAAGAAAAAAAAAGAAAACAGATTTGTAGAAGGGTCTGAAGGTTTCAAACCTAGACAGTGAGCCAATTTATGTCCCCCAAAAGTCACATTTAAAATCAACAGAAAGGAAAAGGTTGTATTACTCCCCGGAGTGTTTTAGACAAAATGTTTCTGGCAAATGTCTCAGGCTGAGAAAAGCTTTGCTAACTGTGTCTCTAAGAAGGGACCGCAGCGGGTCATTGTGTCTGGGCAGAGGACTGACCAGGTCACTTCAGCCACTGCAGATGAGGGAGTAAACACAGCAGCAGAACCCTTACCCAGAATCTGTGCCCGCCGATGGCATACTGCCAGGGCTACCCAGGATCCTGCTTCAATCGGGGAAGGTGAGCGAGGTGGTCTGGTGTGAAGCTGAAACCGAGCCACACAGCACGACTGTCATCTCTACGAGGCTCCCTTTCCCCTCCCTCCCTCTGCACTAGGCAGTGGCTTGCGGGTCACACCTGTTGATCCCTGCCAGTCTCCCTCTGAAGCTAAGACAGCGCCCTCAGGACTAGAGCCTCACAGCCAGCAACAGTACGTAGCTGAGGCTGAGTGAAACTGCTGCGTTTTCAGTTACCCTGCATTTACAGGAATGACCTGATGTTTACACTGTAAACAGTTACCTACATTGGAAATCTATTTAAAGAAATGTATCAAGTAAAAAGATGTGGAAAAAACAGAGATTCATAAAGATGTGACACAAATGTTGAGTTTGGAAATGGCTTTATTAGTGTAACCTGCTTTTAAACTACAGGCCCAGTGAACTGGGCAACACGGAAAGAAATCAGCAGGGAAGTGTCACGTTAAGCACTGAAAACATTCCGTTTGCAGTTCTGCTTGATCACATTAGCCCCAAATTGGAAATTAAATGGCACAATAACATGTTGAAATGATCTTTAGAGATCCATTTAATGATTAAAATTTTATAACTATATAAAAAATATTTCATAGTTACAAATTATGGTGCATTTTTCCCTATCACTCAACTCAGGATGTTGTGCAGATCAGCGTCCACTTTACACGTGAGCAAACGGAGGCCAGAAGCAGGTAAGTGACTGATGGTAGGTAAAAAGGGCTGCTAGTCATAATCACATGAGAGCACTCGCTCTGCCCTCACAGCTTCAGAACAGGGTGAGGAAGCCTGCAGGTTAGAGTTCAACAAGCGCGCTTAACAACTGGCTGTCAGCACTCCGGACAGCAACGGAGATGTTAAAAATAGCAGACAGCTGGCTCCAGTGTCCCCATCAAAGAAACCAAGCAGGCAAATGATAATATGAGACAGCTAGTGGCTAGGCGAGGCGTGGGCATCCCGAAAGCAGCGCCCTCTCTGGCGGGTGTGTCCCTGCAAGCCGCCACCACAGCCCCTCCTCAGCACCCACCAGGGTCCCACAGGGAGACATCCTGGGACTGAAAACCGCACAGAGCTGAGCAACCCCAACTAGCACTCCAAATTCTTAATTTAAAATAAAAGGCGTTAAAATGCTGGCTTGGTGGGTGACCGTGGCTTGAGGAGTTACCGCTGCTCCCCACTTGGTAGCTGTCCAAAGGCTCATAGTGAACTTGGTACCTGATTTTATTGTTTCCCCATCTTAGGCTCAGCACTCTGACCTTGGCAATTAGGATGAAAAAATGTGTAGAGAAATGGGAAACTAATTTCTCCATCTTGCTTCATGGGGTATTTTCTACTTTATCTGCAACAATAAGGGACAATGTGAACAGGAAGCCAATGAACTCTGGGTTCGGTCCCCTTAAGGGATGTTCCAAATTGCAGACTGCAGGGTGATAGGAAAATCAATACGATGAGTGTACAGGCTGCATCCCAAAGACTCACGAGCTAGTTAGAGAACCCAGACTCCTGACCCGGCCCAAGAGGGCAGTGGCCCGAAAGTCATCAGGAGGGAAAGTGTAAACCTCCTCCACACTCCCCAAGCAGGTCCATAAAAAATAAAACTAAACCTAAAAAGCAATCTTTGAAGCCAAATCTGGAAATGCTAAATAAAGATGCATAATGAAGCTACTAAACTCCCTGACATTCAGAAGGAGGGCTGTGCATGCAGCTCAATGTGAAGGCCCTAGTATTGAAAAGAGACAAGAGATGAGAGACAGAGAGACAGAGACAGAGAAAGACAGAGAGAAGAAAGACAGAGAGAGAGAAAGAGAAAATTATATCAACAATGAGATCTAATCAACAGAAATGGAGAAGTAAATAACTCAGGGCAAATGTTAATATTAATGACTCACTACCTTTAGGCCTTGGGTCTCATATGTAGGCTCGGAGTGGTGAAAATAACATATAGCTCCTGATTCTGAAACAAGATACTTCCCCCTCACAAAGACAAGGCACTGCTTCTGAGGGTGTCCCCTGAACATGTGTGTCGGGAGCCAGGCATGCTGGATAGAACTGCAGGCTCCCTGGCCTGACCAATCCTGGCCACGGTCCCCACGGGGCCTCCCTCGCCAACTGTGACAGTGACACACGACACCAGAGTCTGAGAGCACCGGTATTAGCACCTAAGTCCCCTCCGTTACAGAAGCGCCCAGGCTACTCCTCACCAAGCCTGGGAGGCCCAGCGAACCACATTTGATGTGTGTGGCTTCTGGTGTTTAGGAATTTCCAAGGCCTTGCCATGGCCCATAACTCTGAGGAGGAAAGACCCTGGAAGTGGCAGAGCCACTCACGTGTCCTCCATGGGCTGATCTCTCTTTCTTGAACCTCTCCACACCTTCCCTCTCCCTCCCTTCTTTCTTTCTCTTTCTCTTTTTTTTGGCACCGGGGATCGAACTCAGGACCTTGCACTTTTGGGACAGGCAGTGGCACCACTGAGCTAAATCCCCGGCCCTCTTTTTCTTTCTTTGAGACAGGGTCTCACTGCGGAGCCCAGGCTGGCCTTGAACTTGCAGTGATCCACCTGTCTCAGGCTCTCCAATGCTGGGATTATAGGCATGCACCACCACACCCAGGCTGGTTTCTCTTTTGTGCAGAACACAAGCCCCACACACAAACCCAGGGCTTCAGCCCACTATCAAAGGCAATGTCTCACCCCTTCCTTTGGGGTGGGGCCAGGCACGTGGGAGGAGCTGTCCCTGCACTGAGGGGCCCTGTGTGAGGGCTCCCTGCCCCTCTTCCCCTCCCGAGTGTGAATGACAGCTGAGCTCTGTTGAGATGACACTGGGTTTGACTCCACATGCCCACCTTTTGGGCAGTTTCTCCTGGAAACAAACTGACCAGGCCACCCGGTGCTCTGCTGCCACCATCCCGGCCTAATTCTGCATGAGACGGCGGTGCAGAAGTAACACCGATACCTTTTGTCAGCTGCTGGCAATCAGTGCAAGAAATCACGGCCTGTGGTTTACACACCTTGTATTTCTGGGATTTCCCCAGCACGTTTGCCAAGGAGAACATAAGAGAGTGATCATTTGGTATTAATTCCAGTGCCTCTCTTCCAACTGCTTCAGCTTGGGCTAAATTACCTTGAAAGAAAAGGAAAAATAAAAACCATGCTAGCGTTGTACTTGTGTTTTTGTCTCTCTCTGATCAACAGGGCTTGCATGCATTGTATACAATCATTATAAAATCCACGTGGAAGCTGTAACACGCACACACAAAAGCACATGGTCAGAGCAACTCAGCACAGTTCAGACGTAACACAAACAGCTTTCGATTCAATTCTGTAAAGTCACATAATACCTAGTTTTAATTTCCCCCAGATACCAGCTATACCCAGACCAGAGAAAAGAAGTCTGCGAAATGAGAATATCACAATAACACTTCTAATTTCTGAGTATTTCTCCTATGGAGGTACATGCGCTGTGTTTTTCTTAGGAGCAAGAGCCTGCTGCTTCCTCACACTGGTTAGATGGGTTGTTACCTTTAAATTATGACAAATCGGCACCAAGATTTCTGAAAGGATTGTTGGTTTTTTAGAAATAAGGGTTGCAAAAATAACTTCTGATTGGTTGGATCTAGTCTGTTCTGGGCTAGGGAAGCAAATCACCAACTCATTAGCACTGTATCTCAAATAAGAATCCATACCTTTAGGTGCAGAGCAGAGGCCAACTCCTGGGTGTGTGCAGTCCACGAACTTGGGATGCTGGCCTGCACCTTCCAAACCCTAAGCCTGGAGGCATTTCTGCTTATATTTGGGTGCCCCTAGCATTATGGGTGAGGCTGTGGCTGGCAGACAGGCCTTGGATTAAAGGAGACATTTCACATAATGTCTCTCATGCCACCACACCAATTTTAATTCAGTATCATTTTCCATAATGTCCGGATCCCAATATACTCAAGGATGCCTCACTTTCTAGAGGAACAGACGCCACAGTGCCTAAGACTTAGCCCATACTTACTTATTTTTTAAACTTGGGGAGAGGAAACTTAATCTCGGTGTCCTAAATTTTTAACAGAACTGTGCTGGGCCCCATTTCCCGATTCCTGATCTGCCCTTCTGTACCTGTGTTGTCCAGGAGGATGATCATGTTGTTCCAAGCCAGGCTGTGCTCGGGCTTCAGCATGGTAGCATTTCTCCATGCGTTCAAAGCGTCCACATGGCGATTCAGATCTGCATACTGAAAACAAACACCCCCCAAAAATCAATATTCCAATTTTTATGCTTTTTTGCTCTTAAGGTATTATGACCAAAACCCCACAAAAATGAACAAAAAGACAACCTAACCTTTCTTTACAGATCTTCTAATTTTTCATATCAACCCATTCAATTTTCAAAACAATCCCAAGGAAGTGGGTATTACTATTATTACCCCCATTTTACAGATGAAGGAACTAAGGTACAAGGAAATGAGCAATCTGCCCTAAGCCACACAGGAGAAATGGAGAATCAGGCATGACAGCCTAGGGAGTAGGGTCTCAAGCCTGAGGTATTTTAACTAGATAACCTATTATTTGGCAATTCCAGATATCAAATCGTATTTCAGGCTGAAAAAGAATTGTTCATTATGCTTTTTCTAGAAAGTTTCCATATATTCCATCGCCAATAACATATTTAGGATAGCGAACAAATATTTTATGTGAATAAATGCCACACATGTCCAGTTTACCATGTGAAGAATGATCTAGGATCCCCTTCTCATCTACCTCAAAACCCAGTACTATGAAAATACGTGTATATCAGACCTGCTTTATAAACTCTGTGAAAATTCTCCTATGGTCACGTAAAATCTCTTGACAACTTGGAGGCTGGTTTGCCTCATTCAGCAAAGAGATTACTCACTGCTTTCTTTGGAGAGGAGATTTTGTTTAACACAGTAACAATACAAAGTGTCTGGCTTTCCATCTGCATGGTTAATAAAAGCCACAGAGGCCGAAGTAGGGGACTCTTTAACAAGTGACCCTCCAGCCCCCTGAACTCAGTTCAAACACACATTTCATCCCTTTAACTCTGCAAAACGGACAAGTGATGGCAATTTATCAGTTTAAGGCTGGTTTCTTCTTTCCTGTCATTTTTATACATTTTTTAACAGAACAGAATCGTTCTGACTTGTTCCATGTCCCACACAGCAAACAGATGGCATAGTATGCAAAAAAGGGGTAATGAATTCTGGAAGCATTTATGAATATCCACTGCTACAATGTCCAAATTTCCCATCAGACTCAGAAAATCAGCTTACAATATTTTATCTTTTAGTACCAATAATGATAGAAAAAGTTCAAAAAAATTAAAATAATTTGAATGCTTAATTATAGTAACATTTAATTGTGTCTCTTTACTGGATATCTCAGTGATTCTTCAAGTAGTTCTTGCCAGAAAGGCAAAGACAAAATCTGTGGTGACATTCTAACACACTTGGACAAAATCTGTGGTGACATTCTAACACACTCATGGCAACCAGTGTAAGTTCATTTATACAACACAGTAAAATTCTTCATGTATTTTTCATTTTACTACTATTACTTTGATGTTATTATTTATTGCAGAATAACAACAGGTCTAGTCAAGTAACAGACTTTCATTCTTTTATACGAAATGAATAAACACTTTATAGGAAACAGAGAAAAATGGTGATTTAACGAGAACTACCCAGCACAAAGCAGACGGATAGTGGACAAATTATTTGCCTATTAGTCCTTCTCCCACCCTCCATACCCTGCTCTGGGGTGTTGGGCTGGGAGTCTTCGAACTACAATTCCCAGGCTCCTTTGCCACTTGGTTCCCTGTTAAGTTTCTGATACTAAGTGTCACAGGTTCAGGTGTGCCTGAGAGGAGCAGTACCCTGGCCCAACCTCATTGTCTCCTCCTTCCTCTGGCGGTCTCTGAAGGAACTCTGTCCCCTCCTCCACAGTCCTGGGGCTAGAGCAGTGGTCCCTCACCATGACCTCAGCTCTCAGGGTGTGGCAACTCTTTTGAAGGCCACCCGTTCAGTTCTGGTACCAGTCCTTCCTCCATTTGCTCCCCCGAGCTTATGGGGTTTCCTTTAGTTATTAATCTCTGTGTTACTATTCCCTTTCCATTTTATTCTTACAATTGCATGACCAGTTCTTCTCTGCATTAAACCTTCTCTATTTAAAATACTCACCATGGTTTTTCTTCGCTTGAACACATCCTGACTGACACAATCAGCTCCTGCATAATGAGCTGTCTCCAGTAATACCACCAAACATTCTTACCATAACTCTCTAGGACCACCAACACGGCCCCAGTAATCCAGCTCTTCCTAATTTCCTGTTTCTCAAGAGAACTGCATCATATTACCTTCTTATCAGGGGTCCAGAAATCAAAACAAATTTTTATCTCCTATTACAACAATGTGACTTCTTTTAAAAAAGACACCTTGAAGTCATTAAGTTCCTCTTATTTGCCAATATATAAGTGGGTTGGTTGAGCTGTTAAAGATTAAGCTTTTAATGCTTTTAAGCTGTCCAGTGGGCAAATGCTAGATAATTAAACCACAAAGGAGAGCAAAAGCCTTAAATGGGCAGGAAGGACGGGTGGAAAGGGCCATCAGAGCATTAATTCAGGGTGGCAAAATTAGTAAACACCACCAAGGTCCCAATCTGTTCAGTGCTATAAACTGAGCTTCCAAGTGAAAGTGTAATGAATCCCAGGACTAGGGTGCACAATAAAAGCCAGTATTTTACATTTGAGTCCCTTTCTTTGCATATAACTCTCACAGAAGTTTCATTTAGCATCAATTCTATTTTCCCAATCCCAAGGAACTGTCTGAGGTTTTACTGCCCCCTCCTCCAAGAGCTTATCATGAGAACAGCTTTAGCTCTTTGCTAGTCTCCTAGCTTCACAGAGAAAGCTGTTTCTGCATCAAAGTATGTAACTAGATCTTAAAGCACAGAATTTTGAAATGCAAATGAAAAGAGAAACGCATGCAAGGCCCAGTGATTCTGGAGAAAGTTGATGTGGGACAACAGGAATCTTGTGCTGCTGGCCCTTCCTTGCTCTAACGGCTTGCTGTTCTACAGGGCTGGTCACATGGCTGCTTGCTGCCCTGGTCAGTGCCAGGGAAGAAAGAACTCTGCTTTCCACACTGGAGCAGCCCAAAGAGATGGTGTCTTCAAACGGCATCTCTTAACTAAAACATGCTTTGTATTTTTCAAATAAACACACAAATCACTTCATTTTAATTTTATAACACAAGCATCACCCATACACTTAAAAGTGACTTACGTGGCATGGGAAAGGTCAGTCTTCATCATTCGATAACCACGTGTCCCACCATCTTGTTCCCTCCATTCATAAAATTCTATCTCCACAGCTCACAAAACCATGGCTACCCATTACAGAAAAGATGTTAAGACCAAAGGCATCCACACCATGGTAAGGACAGAAGCTGTGTGTTCCAATAAATTTAAAGCAGTTAGGGTTTCCTGGGTTGCTCTCTCCAAACAGGGCTTTCTGCTCTGGTGTGACTGACCTTCAGGTCGAAGTTCAGGCAGAGCTGCTTCCCAGATGCAAGGCCAGTGACAGTGGACTGGAGTCTCGGGGGGAAGTTGTTATTATTTTTAAAATACAGGTTCTCTGTGGAGCTTTTGACTCCCCGAATCTGTGAGGGGTGGGGTTATTTGGATGTACAATTAGGTATGGAAAACTATTGGTTTTGATTCACAAGGACCCCATAAAACGAACTGTAGGAGGTTAAAATAAGGTAAACAGGCATTTCTTTAGAACATATGAATTCCCCTTGTGAGGCTAAGGTTGGTAAAATATGGAAAAATTATATATAAAGTTCTTTTTTAAAAGCCACATTACTATGTACAGTACTTTCCAGTTTTGCTTAGAGGAACCAAATTTTTTTCCCTCTAACAATTTCATGAAATAAATTTAAATATATTTGGTTTTTTGAATCCAAATTAAAGAGCTCACAGAGGGGAGGATTGTACTATTTGTGTCTCATTTTCTTTGCCAAGGAAACCAAGAACAAGCAGATCTTCATGAACATTCTACTAACAACTAAAAATACAAAGCTATTAAGGAGCACACTGTTTTCTACTTCCATCAAATAATGTCAAATCCCTTTCAAAGAAATGCCTTGACTCCTGGAGCTGACTTTTTTGGGGAGGATGCCCCCTGTAGATGAGAGATCTGGTCCCTTGAGGAAGGTGGACAAGGAAGCCCAGAAATCACACTACAGGTTTGCTTTGAAATCTCAGTTTCTATTCAATTCATGTTTTACTTTTTTTTGGTACTGGGGATTGAACTCAGGACCTTGCACTTGCGAGGCAAGCAGTGGCACCATCTGAGCTAAATCCTGGCCCTCAATTCATGTTTTAAAATCTGAGAGAGTGATGTTTATCAGGAAGTTACCCCTGAAGTATTGATTTTCAGGGCAGAAGAGATTTTAAAAGTTTTAATTTATTGTACTTTTTAGTTTATTGCCTTGGTGAACTCTTAAACTCAACTAACTCAAGTTAAGAATGAGACTAATTCAAGTTAGAATAATTTGAGCTTTCACGTTACATATAAGGAAATGAAACAGCTACTTTAAAATGAGATGTGTGTATGTAAAAACACTTTATAAAGCAGGTAGTGCTGGATAGGTATTACCATTGTCCTTTTATTCTCATTAAAGGGAAAACCCTGTCTTTTCTCCCAAGTGGCTGGGGAACCTGGCCTTACCAGTCGCCCAAGGTTGTAGTAGCAGTCTGGGTACTTCCTTCTGTGTTTGATGGCTGTCCGGTAACTCTGCTCTGCTGCCTCGAACTGTTTCAGGCTGTTCTGCACTATGCCCAGGTTCATCCATGCAGCAGCAAAGTCTGGCCTGGAAGAGCATTTTTTAAAAAGACAAGAAAAAGAAAGAAAGGCTTATTAGAACAACAGAAGGCAGGGGCTTGTTTCTTTGTCCCTGGAATAATTATAAAAATAATGCTTACTGTATTTGAACAGCTAAAGACAGCAGCTCTTCTGCTTCTTGGAGCTCATTCCTTTCTTTTAAGATATTTCCAAGATTATTCATGGCATGAACATACTTGGGATTTAATCTGGAAGTTGAGACACAAACCAATCCGACTTGTTATTAATTCAGTAATTTCCCTAAACTTTCAGGAACTGATATCTCAAAGTTGGGGTCTTAAGGGCACAGGCTTATAATCTTAAAGAGCGAAAACTGTATGTGCATATACATGATAGTTTTTCTATAAGACTGTGGTACCTTACTGCTTCCCGGTAATATTGGATGGCTGCTGTTTGGTTGCCTTTATCAGCCAGGTTTTTGCCAATGTTGTAGTGAACCTGAAAATACAGATGACAGCTTGATCACCAGCATATAGACATCTTTGTTCAGAGCCTGGACACCTATCCTGTTTTCCAACTGAAGATGGAAGGGAAAGGGATTAAAAAAATTGCCCACCAGAACTTTTGCTACAGGGGACTTTGTGTCTTAATTCCCTATCCCGTAAGAAAAGACTAGAAGAATGGGAGGTAATAAGCAGACATATCGTTAAAATACCACAAAGGAAAAATAATTAAAGAGCTCATCAGAGAAAAGTGGAAGATCACAAAGCTGGCTGTTTTTATTACTAACACTCAAATACCTGGCCTGTCCCCCACATCCCATTAAAGTTGAGATAATTAAGTACACGTGGGCAGAAAAGAAGAAAAGGACACTCTGCTCATTTTGTCCAAATGCAGCCCTTTCTAGTGCGACATCTTTTTTTGGGTGGCATTACAAGCATTTAGCTTTATACCTATCAGGGGAGGGATGTTTACTGAAATCCCACCTCCTAATGTAAAGGCAGTGGGAGGTGACTAGGGCACGAGGCTGGAGCCCTCACGAGTGGACTCTGAGAGCCCTCTCGCTCTGTCCTCTGCATACGGGGACAGTGGGGCGGTGTCATCCCTGAGCCCAGAAGAGGCCCCTACCCCTGCCAAGATACCACATCTGCCGGGGCCTTCACCTCGGAATACCCAGGCTCTGGAACCCAGAGAAACCCTTGCCCCCTCATTCCGCACCGGGTCACCATGGAGGAGCAGAAGCCTGACAGGCAGCAGGCTCCGGCCGAGGGCATCCGATGTGGGCTCTCATCCCACGGCAGCGCTCTGACTGTCTGAGCTGCTCTCCTTTCTGAGCTTCTAAACCACTCACTGAGCGTCCTGCCTAAGGCCACGACGCTGGACCAGAGCGCATTCTCTTCTTAGCACAGCCCGCTGGTTATCAGGTTAGAGGGGAAGGAGGATGGGCTGACCGCACCGTGGTTTGTAGATTCCTTCATTCGCACTGCTTTTCTCCTTAAAGTGCAGCTGTGTTCCTTGTTATGTGTTACGGACATAACAGTGACCCCCCAAATTCATACAGTGAGCCCCAGTACGTCACCATGTGACTCTGGAGACAGCATCTTTCGAAGGTAGGTAAAGTAAAATGAGGTCGCGTGGGTGTGCCGCAACCTGAGTGGTGTTTTTATAACAAAAAGAAATGTGGACATGCAGAGAGAGGCCATAGGGGAAAGGCCAAGAGAGGTCACAGGGAGAAGACGGCATCTACACACTAAGGTGGGAGGTGTCTGACGAAAGCAGCCCTGCACACACAGCCTCCGGATCCTTTAGGAAATAAAGTCATGTTGTTCAAGCCACAGAGTTTGCAGCATTTTGTTAGAGCAGTCGAAGCACAGCCGCCATCTTGAACTATAGCAATGGTTTAAACATATTCAAAGAATGTTACATATGAACACAGCTTCAAAACCGCCTCTGCAGCTAGAGCCACATCTTGACCTACAGTGACAGCATGTGCCCAAATACACTTGTGTTTTTGGAAGGGGAGAGAGCAGTGACATCCTGGAGCACACACGTAACAGAGATTCCTGTACATGGACGGCCAATTTTAAAGCAGCGACATTTCATGTTTGCCTGATTTGGTGAAAGGAATGACAAGTAGAAAAGTCGCAGATGAGAGACGTGTGGACTCCTATGCAGCACACAGCACAATGTAAACTTTCTGGACCAGAGCACTGTCCATTCACAGGCATTTTCACCCTAAACGATAGCCTGGAGGTGGCTGGAGGACGCCATCACCAGAGCTTGTGCTGTGAAATGTGTGCTGAAGATGGCTCATCCCGCGCCTCCCCCAACTCCAGCCTGGACGTGTGACTCCTCCTCCCATCCCATGCACACAAGACCCCAAGGCCGGAGCATGGAGCAGCCAGGGGTGTCCTCCTGGGGCCCAGGACACAGACACAGCTTCTACTTAGGTTTCAGCAGGAGCTTCCACCTCCACCCCCAGGCTCCCCCTCTGCTTCCCTTTGTTCCGGGCAGATTGTGCTGTTCAAGGCTCAGACAAAGGAGCCCAGCTGCCCTCTGTGGTAAGGACAGTGTTCTGTTAGACAGCAGAATCCAGGGAGACCAAAGGAAAGGAGGGCGCTCCGGGTTCGACAGAGTCACTGACATGGATCGAGGGAAAAGTCTGCCTGAGCCGAGAAGGAAGTCCCTAATTAAGACCCGGAGAAGGGCTCTCCCCACCATTTATACCAAGGCAGTTCTATAAAGAGGACACAGCTGCCGTGACTGTAAAGCAAAACAAAACAAAACACAAACCTGACAACCAGGTTACCTGAAATAGTGTTTAGAGAGTGAGTGTTTTTTGTTCCGTGGTGTATGAAAGACAGAAAAGACCTATTCATTCAACTTTCCTTCCAGTCTTAGTGCTTCATGCATCCAGGCAATGAACCAGTAGAGAAGCCAGATGAAAACAAGTATCACAGCTGAACAGCACGGAAATGCAAACAGGTAAAAGCACCAGTAAGGAAGGGTGCTATGCATACCAGGGCTACACCAGTTTGTTTCAAATATTCTGCCAACATTAGATGTTAAACTTGAAATGTTCTCAACACATAAAAATCCTCTAAGCATCCTGGGCCTCTCCTTAAGGAAATGCCTCATAGTGGGATATGATTCTTTTCACTGTTAAAAAGAATTGGAATTGTATCAGAGTTGATAGTGGAACATATGTTTAAGCCTTAAAAGCTAAAAATGACCACAAATAAATGAAGACACTTGGACTCTCTGCCCCAGTAGGCTAGTGGATTCAGTTTCCATTTGGCTCAATTTAATAACCAATATTAAATACTGACCACATACAAGGCACCACGGGTAACTTAAATGCAGGCCAGACCTCAGCGCTACCTACTCTGATACTGCAGTCCTTCAATAAAGATGAGTCATACTTTATATATCGGGCCTAAACTCGAGGCAGGTGTCCCCTGCTCACTTAATATCAATGACAGTCATGCGAAGCAGTGTCTCCTGCCTAATGGGGAAGTAGGGACACGTTTTCCTAAATGAGATCTTGTCCCTGAAATAGACCTAGCTTTTTTTTTTTAAAGGCAATTTTATGACACTTTGATTTGTAATAGAAAGAAAAAAAAAAGGCACCAAACCAACACAAAATCCAACTCTATCTTGCTTATATTGAATAGTTTCACTGAAAAAGTTCAAGGAAAAGGACTCTTACCAGCAGGTCTGTTTTGAAAATGAGGTCCTGTATGTATACCTTAAATTAAAAAGAGAAACGTATACTCACATCCTCAAAAAGTGTGCAAGCCCTGAGCTTTTGAGCCCTGTTACATTTGAAATCACACACAGGCATCACTGGTTCCCCCTCGCCCTTTCCAACAGCCACCTGGGCACAGCAAGGTAGAGCTAGGTCTCTAGCCACTTAAATCACATAAATAATGTCATTTTAACCTATTATCCCTCAGTTTCTCCCATCTGGAAAAAAAAAAAAACAATATCCTGTCTCTGAAATCCTCAGCAGGAGAATGGAGATTTAATTACAGAGCCTCTATATAGAGGCTCAAGTTCCTTACAGTAAAGAAGGATATAAATAGAACAGGTAATGACTGTCATTAACACGGAAAAGTAAAAATAAGGCAAATCTAGTAACATCCACAAAATTAAATTACAGGCAATTTATTTTTAGTAGCATGAAATGAATTGATCAGTCAGCCAATCAAAGATAAAAGCTCCAAGTAATTCACTCTCATCTATACTTCTGAAGTATAAAACACAAACAAGATGCTTTAATTGCAGAAAAGATGACAAGGAGTCAGCACCTTTTATATACTATTCTTTGCTTCAGGGTAACAATAAGATGTCAACTTGTCATTGGTTTTATTTACATAATTTTGCCTGAAATGATTGTGTTCCCGTAAATACAGAAAGTGGAAATGAGACAAACTCCAGAGATCTCCCCCCAGAAGAGATTACATGGAAGTATCCTAGGCAGCTCCAACTAGATGGCCTAAGAGAGAAGGTAACCTTGTCTATCGATGACAATCTATACTAACAGAAGAGTCTTCTAATCCAAGGCCTTGATCCCCATTTTAAGCACACAGAATTCCCTTCCTGCCACTTAACATGAAACCAAAACTAAAATGAACTTATGCAAGCTAATATTTCTTAAGCACCTACTATGTACTGAACATAGTAAGGTGTCTGAGTTCTTTCAGCCCTCACAACCAACCTGGTGGACAGGTATTCCCCCGTTCTTAGAAAAAAGGGCACTTGGAAGTTCAAAAAAGCTTAGTTCTGCCCAAAGAGACATAGCTTGGCTAAGTAAAAAGCTTGGACTCGGCAAAAATACAAGAGTCGTCTCAAAAACAAATAGGCAAAACACACGTGAATTATTCCTCCCCAATATCTTTAACAAAAAACACTGCAAACTTTAAAGTCTATATGTTTTTGTTTACCTAATCTGACAAAAGGAGTAACCAGCAGCGGATGCAAAGTAACAGAAATGTACACTACTGTGCAGCGTGCAACATAATTAAGCTTCTGGGGTCAAATGATGGCCACTGGTAGGTATAACCACCTTTCCATCACAGCCCGGAGGAGGCTCAGGCCTCTAGTGCCACAGTGTGTGCCACAGGGTTAGGGTTTGTGGCTTGCCAGAAGCTAGCTTGCCTGCTGCATGGGTGATCATAGCAACTACAAGATGGGCGATGCTTCCTTTGAGTAATCTCTGCTGATACTGTCAGGTTTTCATGATTTCTTTTGAATCATTCTGGCTAAGTTGAATTCTAACGACTCATAAAAATCATTAAAAAATGACAATGACAACAAAGGAAAACCCCACTACTGTATCTGGTCAGGGTCTTACGGTGCCTGCTGTTCACCACCAATCATTCCTCCTTCCCAGCTGGGAGACTTCAAACATTTTCTGGCAACATCTTTGGGAAAGAAATCTAGCAGCCAAGGTACCTTAGCATTGAGGGGACACACAGACAGGGCGCTTCTAAAAAGCTGGTCTTCACTCCTCCACTCGCCGCTGCGAATCACACACCTCAGCGCGTTGATGAGTAAGATGCCCAGGACGCAGGCGGAGATGAGTTTCTTAAGAAGAGAGAGACACGGCAAACGTCACGAGTGACCCGCGTGAGGCCCTGCTGCTGGCATGGCGCTGCTGGGTAGATACCTTTTTCTTAGTTTGTCTGCTGAGGGCCCCGAAGCCAAAAGTCAGCAGGACACAGTAGCCGGCACTGGGGAGGTAGAGGACGCGTTCCGCCACCACGAAGCCCACTCGGAAGAACAGGTTACTCGCAGGAAGAAACGGGATCACGAGAAATCCCAGGCCCAGAGTAAGGATTCTGGAAGGCGAAAAGTACTTAAAGGAATGGCTGTCTTCAGACTTCTCAGGAAGGGTGTCCTACTAATATTAAATTAATGCTAAAGACCTTTCTTTTTTTCATGCCATCAATTGAGAAAAGGTACCACTGTCAGGGAAAAACAATCACCAGGAGAGAGTTTAGCTGGCAGTATAGGATAAAATACTACATAAAACACTTCTAAGGCACTTACTATGGAGCATAAGGGTAAACTCACAAATCACACAACTCACATCAATAAAGTCAGAATGACTGCACTTGCGAGGCCTGAGAATTCACCTATTTCTCTCTATGTTTCAAACCATTTAGGTTCCGAATTGGTCCCAATTCTTTCATGAGAAAATTTCCCCTAAACTGAGGAATACTATTACTGAGGTGGTTTAAACTTCATAAAATCTGAAAGAGAAACTAATGTCATTTTTTGATGTTCCATCATCACCAGTCAAGCACAAAGAAAGCTGAACATGAAGTACTTCTTGAGCCAGCAGATGATTCCCGACGTCCTCGGTAATATGACAGGTGAAGAAGCGGTCATTTTGGCAGCTCCCTCCTGCATTCTGTGCTATGGTGTGTGTGTTTCTTAAAAATCCCACTTCACACGTACGTAAATTGACTGAGACAGAAATTTTTTGATCTTTAGAATCACCAACCAAATTAAGATGCAGGTGAACTTAAAACTTAAGAGTAATCACTAATCTAATTCCATGAACACTGATGTTAAAGGGGAATTACCTTAAACGGTTTTCATTCTCACGAAACATTTGTTTTTCCCAATTATTCTCTCAATAACCTTTTAGAATTTTTTTGCAGTGGAGAAATAGTCTATTTGGGCCAGCAGCTTGTTTTGTACCCAACAACAAAAGAGGAATCACCATAGCATTCACAAGTTTTTCTTTTTAAGAACTATAAAATAACGGACACAACACACACCAATTATACTCTCTGTTCTGACTATAAATTATTCTTTACCCCCTACGGGGAAAAGGGTCTCCAGGTGCTTCTTGGCAGAAGGGCGGGGGATGGAGCAGTCACCCCTCCTCCGCCAACTCGCCTTCCACTAGTTGAAGGCAGACTCAGATTTCAAGTGCGTGGAGCCCATCTTCACCACTAAGACGCATCTGAAACAACGTCCTTATCATCATAGCCACAGAACTGTTAAAAACATCAGTGCTTCGTTTAGCTGAATGCTTCTGCGATGGAAGTTAAAATTCAGCATCACCTCTTACCTTCTCTTGCGACTGTCCTCAGAGCACAGGGCTTGGCATATTAGGCCAATTAGACAGAGCCAGAGTGCTGCCAGGGCAATTACCCTCCAGTCACCAACTGACTTAATGAGGGGGATGCAGCCCATTGACCAATCAAAACACAGCCACCAGGGACACAGCAGCAGCCAGGCATTCAGTGAATAGTAGTAATTATAGTTTATGGCCTGTCAGTCAGAAGGAAAACAAACACTTATTTGATACTGAACTTGAGAGAACACATATATATCCGAACTTCACTTTGGAGGGCTCTGTTCAAGGACAGCATAGAAACCGCGTAGAAATAAAATATCACCAGCTTGTAGTTAAAGAGTATGGGACTGTCTGTAACTCATTAAATGAAATCGGATTTTAATACATTAAAAACACAGCCATGCCACCAGACCAGGCAGTGTGTATCTGCTACATTTCTGGCCATGCTATGATGCATTTACTTATCTATGCCTGGAGCCTGTGATCTGGGAAGTCTGAGGCTCTGGGGTCACTGTTCGCCTAACAACCCGAGAACATGGCTTCCGAGGCTGTCCTCTTGGCTCCTGTCTCTAGGATGTGCACAGCCAAGAATGTGCGCCTTGGTACAACTGCCTTCAGAAAGATGTGCAAGCTACTACTGTCCAATTGTGCCTGTGTCACAATCCAGCTGCCCAGGGCTCAGGGGCATTTCTGTAAGACTGGCAAGGGAACTTGAAGTCAGCAGGGACCAGCTTCGCTTCCTTCTCATCACAAAGGGAATACAGGTGCATCTATCTGTGTATTTGCAGTTTCTGCACCTGTAGAGTCAATTAAGCATGGAGTAAAAAATATCTGGGGGAACAATTCCAGGAAGTTGCAAAAGGCAAAAGTTGAATTTGGTGCCCACTGGGTACTTCCACGAATGCCCATGAGTGAGGTGATGTGCAGGCATCGGATCAGGCGTTCCACATAGGCTAGGGGTGATTTAGAGTGCACCGAGGATGCGTGTGGTGTGCAAACACGCTGCCACTTGACACAAAGGACTTGGATCTGTGGATCGGGTCCTAGAACCAGCTCCCCGCAGATGCCAAGATTGATCGAGTGTCCAAGTGCGAATCCCACCCTTCCAATAACCCAGGCCAAGGGCTGTGGGCGTGGACTCACCCTCACCAACACGCTGTCGGCAAAGGAGGCCGGGTTGTCCACCTCCGTGAATGCTGGCGGGCCGGTCCCCATGATTTTCCAGCGCGCGTAGAGCATGCCGGCCCCGCCTGAGGTGAGGAGGGTCATTCGGAAGAGGAGGCCCCTGCTCCTGAGTGCTCCCAAATTCTGAAAGGACACAACAAAGGCCCCACTGTCACCTTCGATTTTCAAGTCAAGGTGTGACCAGGCCAGGCACCAGTGTGAACAATTCTGCCTGAATGACTTTGACACTGTGCATTAAAGGGCTGGCGACATCAGAATTTGAAATCACAAGAACTACTTGGAAAATGACATTTGAAACCAGCAGGTACTTGACATTTTCCATGTCTGGGCTGGAGACAAAAGTACATGCTCACCTCTAATGACTTGTCCTTACGTAGTACCTTCTGGACGACTTCCAGAACATTGAATTTGCCTATCACCAAGATGTCAAATACCGCATTCAAACCCTAAGGAAGCAAAGCCACACAGTCAGGGGCAGGAGAGCCTGGCTCTCCCAAGGTAGAGATTACAAGTTGATAACTGAATCTAGACAGGGAATGCAAAGTGTTAGATAATCGCAGAAGACTACTTCAGTGTCTAAAAAAGGTCACCTTGTGTCTGGGTAAAATTAGCTCAAGGCAATATGTTACATCACAATTATTAGCATATCCCTGTTAGTAATGATTTCATGTTCTGCATTTTTCAGGGGCCGAGGATTTAGCTCAGTGGTGTCGCCGCCTGCCTCGAAAGTGCAAGGTCCCGGAAAAAAAAAGTATTACATGATTCAGAATAGCTAAAAATTGGTTTCCAATGAAAAGCTCCCAGAGGTCCCGCTTATTTCTCTCTTCCTTTTCCTAACCATGAAACAGTCCCTTAGTTCACGTCACAGGGTGGTCACTTACCCGCGTAGTGACTGTGCCTAAGAAGGTAAAGGCAGCGTCAATTCGCCTGCCCAGCCATGAGCGAGCCCGTGCTGGCCACTCTGGGCACCGTGAATGGGGCGGAGCCCGTGGAGTCCCGGAAGGGGCTCAGGAGATCTCTCCAGCCCAGGCGCCAAGGCCAGAGTCCTCTTCTCCCTGGACACACACCTGGACCCCACCTCCCGGCTCCGCCGCAGTCAGGGAAGCCTGCGCCCTGAGCTTAGCCTGTGGAGCGCGGGGAGAAGTGGCCTGCACCACTGGAGGCTTGGTTAGGAGCTGGCTGCTGTCCTGCTATCGGTTTCCCTTTCTAGCTTGCTGCGATGGTGAGGCCGGGACGAATTGGAAGCTACACACTGAAGCTGCCGTAGCCTCTGCTGGCAGGGCCTGCTGTGTGCAGATGGCCACCTCTGCCCCCGAAGAGCTGCCCACAGCTGTTAGGTGAACGGCAAATCGCTTCAGCTGTGTGAAGCCACCGGGAGTGCTGCAAGGTGGCCCTGCTTACGCTCATAGCTTCCGTCGGCCCCGTACGTCTTCCTAGCGGATAAGGTCTGCTTTGGCAGCTACTAAATCTACCGTTACAGGCTGAGGAAGGGAGGAGTCTGTGGTAGCTTCTCTACATTTGTTGCTGTACAGGGAATGTCACCCGGCTGAACTTCCTGCCCAATCTAGATAAAGTGGTCTGAATATACCTGATGTTTATGATCAAAGCTGCCCCTACATGGCTGGGTCTTTTTAGTATGGGGCTTTGTGGAAAAGAAGATCATAAATCATCTGAAGTCAGCAGTAATTTGTGGTTTTCGGAGCAAGCATGACATCCCTACTTAACCCTGTCCATAAACACTGTCCCCACTAATTATCCAATACATGGGCCAGTGCCGGGTTAAACATTTCAAAGAATCCTGATTTTATTCACTCATGTGATATGTGATCATAGCGGGTCACAGAAGGCTGCCTCGGCCTGGTTGTAAAACCATTTTCTAGAAGGGAGGAGCTCCCTGTTTAGCTGCCTCCAACTTCTTTCACTGTTTTTCTGCCTGGGAGCTGAGGGACAGTCAGCAAGAGGTGACAAGAGTCCTGTGGTCACCAACACTGAGCCAAGCACAAGGCTAGTATTCCTTCTTCCGTCCCACTTAACGGGAGCACCAAAATCTCCACACTTTATTTACATAAATTCAACTTAATCTTTAGTGCACCTAAAATAAAACTCTAATGTGTACAGGACTTGCCTGAGGACCTGGTGAAGTGGGGATTCTGACTCAGCAGAGCTGGGGTGGGGACTGAGATCCTGAATCCCTAACTAGTTCCTGGATGCTATGACGCTCTTGGTCCTCAAACCGTCCTTTAGATGAGAGCAAGATTCTGGAGTAGTGGGCCTCAAGAGGGTCACTCGGCCCAGGGGTGCCTAGCGAGGTTTGGAGGCATTTATGTTGTCACAACTCAGGGAGTCCTATTGGAATCCAGGGGGCAGAGGCCAGAGATGCTGCTAGATGCCCTATCATACATAGGACGGACCCCACAAGGATGAGTTATTTGGTCAAAAATGTCATAATGCCAAAGTTAAGAAACCCTGATGCAAAGTAAACTCAATAAAAAAGTAACTCAGGAGACCTGAGTACCTTTCCACAGTAATTCTTTCACGGCCATTTCCTGGCTAACCTTACTCTTACAGATAAAGCATGACATGACCACCAATTCTTGCCTTGACTTGCATCAACTCCCAAAAAGCTCTGATGGCTCTTCCTCTCCCAAGCTAGTCCTATATGGTCACTCAAATTCCAATTTTTTGCTTCCATTTCTTTTCCTCTGCTCACATCCTTCACTTCACTTTCTAAAGTTTCCTCTAATCATGAAAAGCCATGTGCCTGTGGAAGCTGAGCGTGATGGGCGACGCTCAGTACTTCTTTAAACTCACTGGTGTCGATGTGGGGTGGCCACTGTCTGTTCTTTCAGGGACTGAGTCTCCTATTCAATGAAGACTACTGGGAATCTATTCTGTGAATACTGGTTTACTCCTTGGAATCCCCAGAAGGCACAGTTCCTGCCTCCCATTAAACTTAAGTCTAGTGGAAGAGGCAGAAGACAAAGGAACAAACAAAGAAGATTCCTGCAGAATGATCCCATCACTCTTCCCCAAGAACTTCTCATCATCACTGCCTGCCTGGGGCTAATGATGGTCAACAGCGACAGTCAGCTCCCCATCTGAATTGTGACAGATTCCTGACCCCAGTCCACACGGGGATGCGGAAGTAGAGGCCGGGCTGGCCCACAATGTCAGGATGGAGAGGAACAGCTGGGCCAGGCTGTGTGCAGCTCTTACCAGCACTGTGATCCCTTGCTCTTTGCACAGCATGGCCACTGCTCCCAGAAAGATGCTCAGCAACACCCAGCAGGTAGAAGACTGCGTTCCCTCCTTGTTACCTGGCAAGAAGGGATATGATAATTGCAGAAGTCATGCAACACACTCTATTCTGTTAGCAGCAGGAATCAAAATTCTAAGCACACACCCTAAACAGACACAACTTGAGACAGTTAGGTCCCCAGCCAGCACTTCTCCATGGGTGAGTGTGGCTTTTAGCACTTCTGGCTGAACACTACATGGGACACATGTCCTGCCTCAAGGCTCCTGAGCACACGCCCTGGGACAAAGCCTTGACTACAAAGATGGCACAGCCCCAAATTCCCATGGTGTAAGTTCCTTTTCCCCAACCTTCCAGTTGTGTTGAGGATGCTCCCAGAGACTGCAGCAACCCACTGCATCCAGGATGCCCTCGACAGTCACAGCTGCTCTCACGAGGAGCTGGCATGCATGAGCAGCTGTGGATCCCCACTACTACTGCTGGCAATGGGCAATGGGAAGGGTCTGCTGTGCTTCCTGTGTGCAATGGCTTCCATCTCTATCAAAGGGTGTGTGACATCAGCGGGGGGCTGGCAGCTACCTAGCACCTGGGACAGTAAAGCCATGGGTCACACTGGGATGCCAACCCGCATGGTGCTCAGCATCAACAGGAAGTCAAAATAGGCAGCTCCAGTGCCGGAGCTAGGGACAAACTCTTGTCCCCACAGTGCCTCTGGAGGAGGCAGGGTCTGGCCATACACTCTGGAGCCAGAGGTTAACTGGGAGTGAGGACACAGGAAGGACTCCTCTGTGCCCTTCCTCTGAAGCCTTTGTCCTTATCTACATCAGTGACCCAACACTGACTCCCTGAGGACCAATCATCAGCCTGTCCTGGTCTCTGGGTCAGTTCTGCTCAGAACCAGAATTCTGGGTCTATGTCCTGGTGCTGCCACCTACTCCATGTACCACTCGTGGGCTCCTCTATAAAACCAGGGCAAGAGGACCTACTTGAGGACAGATTTGAGAGGGGAAAAGGATAGGAGAATACTTGTCCATATATGTTGCGTCCATATGAATTACATGAAGGCAAAACATCTCCTTGGAAAATATACAAGAAACTGATTATAGTAGTTTCTGAGATGTTCTAAGAAGAAAAAATGAGGTTAAGGAAGAAAGTCTTCCTTTTCATTGTATAACCTTTAGTGCCTTTTACATGTTCTTAGCTGTGTATATATATTAAAACAGGCATTGAAACTAAAAACTTTTCAAAAATGGAATATCTAGTGCTGGGACCACAGGGAGTATTTAATAAATGCTTATCACACATGAGCCAGCAAAACTCCCTCAGTTTAGAGGGAGATGGTTTCCAATGAGGCTCTGATGTGAAGTCAGCGGATGGCTCATGAGTCATCCTGTCACCAAACATGCCAGGTGTGTTGTGCAGTGTACAAGGCACATCTTGCTTCTCGTGGAACTGCTGTGTGTGCGCAACATGCAGACCCTGGGTGGAGGGATAGAAAAGTCTTGTGAACCCTGAAGAACTAATCAGCAAAGCCCCAGGCTTTCAGGTTTTCAGGTCCCACCAACAGCCATCGGGGCCTGGCCCAGGAGGAGGGGCTGTCGACCTCACGTCCTGTACGTGTGGGTTGGGACCCGTCAAGATGATGAAGCTGTACCCGCCGAATCCCCCCAGATGCCCAACAAAACACGAGCAGGCCTAATTCCTGACGGTCCTGACACAGCCGCTCCCTCAGGGTGAAGATCACCCTTCTGAGAGTGGTTTTCATTAGTGGCCCTGCAAACGTGACCACCCCACTTCTCCAGGTCTGCATCCTATTCCAGGCACGTGGGCCAACTCAGCAGTTCTCTCTTCACTCTGCCTACTTGGTTCCCTTGGGCTAGGATGCCCCAGGCAAAATCCTACCCATCTTATAAAGCTATCAAGTGTCACTTAAGCTGTGAAACTGCACCCGGCCCTCTCGGGCAGTCTCCTTGCAGAATCCACCTGCTGTACGGCAGACAGAACAGCAAATAGTCCTGCTGCTGCACGTCAGACTGCCCTGAGATTACGTCAGGACTGGTGCAGCCTCTCACTTGCCCTTCTCATAGTCACGGACAACATTCTCCACAGCGCATCAGAAACGCTTGCCTTTCTATGGCTCCCAAGATGGGAGTCTGCCAGTGCCAGCATGCGCGGCCGATTCTTCGTCCTAGGTCTGTCCCTGTACATCACAGGTCATTTCGTGGTATCCCTGGCTTCTCCCATTAGGTGCCAATAGCAAACCCCTTCCCAGCTGTGTCACAGGCCAAGTGTCTTTGAGGGGGGAACACCTCCACCCGGAACCCCTGCCTTAAACCAGGGCTATGCAGAGAACAAAGCCTCAGAACCTGCGGCTGGATCTGGGTAGAAATGCAGACTCCTGGCCCACCCAGAATCCGTGCTCCAGCAGGCATTCTGAGGATGGCAACCAGCCCCTGGGTCCTTTTAACAAGCTTTCTGGACCATTTTGATGCCCCTTAAGATGCAAAGTGTCGCCTTCGGTAGTAAGCTGGCACACAGCTGCACTGCTGGCATCGTGCCTGGCTTGGAGGAGCAACTGAAAGCTGCTCTGAGCAAAGCAGCAGCAGGACCAGACCGCCACAGTGGTGAAGGAAACAGAATCCTTTCCAAGCTGCTTCCAGCAGGGGGCCACCTGACCTTGACTTGAGTGACTTCAGCGATGGGGCCAAATGGTTCAGAACACAGTCCATTCGGTGTTTAAGCCCAGGGTCCTCAGAATATCCATCCTCGTGCTGAGCTCTCGCCTGTCCCTCTCTGTTTCAGGTCTAGCATCAGCTGGCTTATACAGCTCAGAGGCCGGAAGTCAGGTTCTCTCACCTGCAAACTATTCTGCATCGGTGTGTTTAGTTCCGTCAAGCAAACGAAGGATGGTTTTATTGGCAGAAATTAATTACATGATATGCATGTAATACGAAAAGGCCACAGTTATAACCACAATATTTTTCAAAAACCCTATCACATGAAGCAACTTTAGTGTTTATGGGACCTTCTGATTCTGTTTGGCCATTTGTTATCACTCATTAGCAGACAAGCAGGCCCAGGCCTCCTGCCACACGGCAGAGAGGGACATCCTTGTTGAGTGTCACCTTCCTCCCAAACACCTTCCCAGGTCCATGTCAAACCTCCGAGGGCTTCTGTTATATCACAGCTCATATGGAGACAGACATGGGGGCACTCCCTCAGCCCCTCCCATGTCAACCTGTTACTGAGTTTCATGTTTTAGCCCTTTAACCTCTACAATTTGTGTTTGTACTTTTCACCTAAACATGATATAATTTCCCCAAATAATACTCCCAGGTCTTAATTTCAAAAACAAATTCCCTGATCGTTTTACATTTCTTCCTAGAAAAACCGAATTTGCTTGTATTTTACTTGACTGTGACACTGTATTAACTTCCCTCCCCATGGACCCAGGCCTTTGATGGGAAACACATTCCCAGTAGCCCCACCTACAAGCCCGACGACTGCTCTTGAAGGCACCCTGTTAACACTAACTTAAATTACTGACAGGCTCCTGTTCACTCTTCTTGTCTAGAATTTAAAATGGCTTTCTCCTTGGATGGCTGACTCAGGCTTAATTGAACACAGAAAAATAATACACAGAAAACACAGTCTTGGGATTTACTGGCAGTCTTTTCCCTCATCGCACCCATTAATTTCACCACACCTCTCAAACTTTCAACTCGCTCCCTCTTAAATCTATACTGCAATTCTGAAGAATCCTGTAAAACAGGGGAGATGAAGGCCCCATTTCTTTGCTGAAGAAGGGTCTTCAGTTTCAGTGATCACTGACTATTAGACATCGCTTCTCACAATGGTGGCAATTTCAAGTCAGGAGGGAAATTTCAAGGTTGGTTATTAAGCCAGCGGCAGTTTCCTATTCAGAGAACCACATTCCAACTTTGCTGCCATCCAGGGCAAGTGTCATTATAGCCAAGGACCACCGGACATTTTTCTAGTCCGAACTGAGACATGTTTAAAGCGTCATATACACACCTGATTCGGAGGACTTTGCATGGAAAAATGATGTAAAATATTTCATATTTTTATATCAACTACAGGTTGAAGTTTTTAAGATACTGGGCTAAGAAAAATATATTATTAGAATTCACCTCATCTATTTCTTCTTATAATGTAGCTCTAGAAAATTTAAAATTACGCGAATGGCTCCTATTATATTTCTGTTGTCCCAAAGCATCTCCAGACCAATAAGGAAAATCCCAGCTCATAGACAAAAGGGTTTGCACACTGCTATGTTTCTATTCCAACTCTACTGTTGAAAGGAAAATAAGAAAGGAGTTTGTCTATTTAATCCAACCTTTCCTGCTCTAATCTCTGCTAGATTATTCACTCAACATTTTATCTGGAGTTACAAGACAAAGCATGCACACACATTTTTCAAGTTTTCCAGAATCCAAACTAGAAATCTTCATTGACGTTTTTAAACAATATTATAAGGCAAAGGGGTACTCTTTACAAATGTACAGTATGCATGATAAACAAAGGCCAACCTATGTAGTGCTGACAAAATGCTTTCAGTATTGGAGTAAATAAAAAAGGCCTTGTAAAAATTAAACTGGGAGCTGGTTCTGAGTTCTGGGATAGCCCAGCCTAGAGGACTTCCAGTGAAAACCTGTTCTGGCACAGTTCTACCATGTAATTCCCAGAGTTAAGATTTACCTTGAGTCTTGGGTTGTCAAGGTGAATCATGCTAATAATCATTAACATGCAAAAATCCAGATAAATTCAGACTTTGTGTTTCTGTAGCTGTTCTCACTTAGTAACTACTGCTAGCTATTCTTTTTTTTCCAAGTCTGAACATTTCATAAGATGAGTAAGACATATGAGTAGGCCACCTTGCATACAGTGGATATTATATCTGTTGAATCAACAGCTTCCTTTATTTCCACATCTCTCAGAAATCTTCTTATATTGCCACATTTCTTACATAGCTAGAAGTAATTTAATACCAAAAAGTTAATATAATTTCTCAGTGTAAATATATTCAGCTCAAAGTCACTC